TTATTACTATTATCATTATTATTACTATTACTATTATTATTATTATTATTATCATTATTATTATTATATTTATGTATATATATATATACCCGACACTATGATAGTTGGATGTGTCATAGTGTGTCTAAAATTAGGGGATGTTCCAACATTGCCATTTGGGGCCATTTCGGTGTGGCGGATCACTTCAGGTTGGTGAATGATTACAAGTTCATACAAATTACTTTTGCTGCCAGAGGGGCATGGTTCAAAATCATATTGATCACAAATTTGATGGTTTAGTACCAAAATTGATAATTCTGATGGGTCTGTGGTGATCTCCCATTTGAAGCCGTGGCCAGCCCAAACCCATTGTTGATAGTGCTATCATAGCTATCTCTATCCTTGAGTAGATAGTCTACCTAATCATTTCAATAGTTCGATCGTTTTTCAAGTGGGGAAAGGTCAATTAGATATTCTATCTATCAAGCTAAATATCCCTGGTTGACTACTGTACCACGTTTTAATGGCATGGTAGGAACGAGGCTGGAACGAGTAGAGCCAATCCGCATCAGCGGAAATGAGCAGTGTGGGAGACATGATTGATCCCACAGTTGAAGGCCATACGGATTACGGAAAAAAGATAGACCAACGGCTCGAGGTGGAGAATGACATAAATTTCGATTGTTTTCCTATGGGTTTCGCTGTTTCACCATGGGTTTTATTTCCACATTTTTCTGTAGGTTTACCCCAGGGTCCATTGCTGCCCCATTTTGGAGCCCGGGCTGAGGTGCAAGTGGTGGACAAGAAGGCGAAGCGGACAGGGAAACTGAAGGGGACTTCCACAGGCCAAGTTTTGCAATGAATGGGGGCACACATGTATATATATATATACATACGTATATGTTATGATATATATATATATGTAATATTTATTATATGTATGTACGTGTATATATATATATACACACGTATATATGTACATGTATATATATATATGTATACATATGTATATATATTATCATATATACATATATATATATATATATATATCATATACATATACATATACATATACATATACATGTACATGTACATATACATGTGCATGTACAAATACATAGATAATACATATACATATACATATAATATACATATACATGTACATATACATATACAAATATAATACATACTGCATGGTACGTAATACACAATACATTTACATATACATAGACACACACACATATATGCATATATATATACAATTATATACATATGTATATGTATATACATATATACACATACATACATATATGTATATATACACACATATATATATACACATATATATATACATACATATTATCTTTTGCATGTGCATCTACTTACTGTATACGTATACGTATACATATACATATACATATAGATAATACATGTACATATTTGTAGATCTACACTGCATGAGGTATACTAAGTGGCTAAAAGGTCTCTTCCGAACAGCACGCCCATTGGGTTTCAATCTCTGGGTCCTTCTGAGTTGACCCCCACAGTGCCAGGTGCCTCGGCATATGCTTCAAGTCACTGAGAAAACTGTGGAAGTTCCAACAGTCCCGCAGCTCAAGTCCGATGTCAGCACCTGTGGGTAGCTTGAGGAATTTACTATATGTTGAAAAATACAGCTCACTTGGTGGTTTCCTAAAGTGGGGGGTACCCCTAAATCATCCAGCGTAACAGGATTTTCCATGAACTAAACCATCCATAACTGAGGTGCCTCCAATTTGGGGTTTCCCCCATTTCCAACTCCTCACCGGAACTTTTTGTAGAATTGGATGGCGACCGAGGTCATTACGGAAGAGGTTCCACAAGAGACCTTGGAGGTGGTTGTGGTGGAAACCATCACCGAGGTACGTGGCAAAGAGTTGCTGGTACCGGCCCTTACCTGAAAATCTTGGATAAAAAACACGAAAATCCCAGTGTTTCACTATTCAAACAGATATCAAAGTTTCTTGATAATCCCAGTGTTTCACTTGAACAAGACCAGTTTTGGCCTCAAACATGATTTTGGGTGTTCTTCGGTTCTACCAGGTTATAGCCATGTTGTAGCCATGTTTCAGACACATCCACTGGGTCCTCGAAATCCAGGTGCCCAAAATCCAAATGCTTCCGGTGCCAGTGGAAGTGCCCAAGGCCACAGATGCCGGGGATGCCCCGGAAAGAAACCTCCTTGGAATTCTGATACGGAAAGAAATCGCAAAATTGAAAGAGGTATTTATTACATGAGTCGGGACCTGAAGGTGTGTATGACCGGCCCTGAAGCTTATGGCTGATGAGTACATCGCGATTTCCATACATCACTCTACAAACGCTAGCGCGCACGCAGACATATTTGAAATGCGTGTTTCAGTTGGGACACATTGAACACATGAGGAAATTTTCTGTGCCCGAGAGTATTCCGACCGGAAAGTAATTTCAACGCAAATGGCCGTTCTTGATTCAAATTGAACGTCTCAAGCCAAGGGCAAGAAGATACTTGTAGCAAACAGCGCTACAAAGAAGAACAGAAATGCATACAATTTTATGGATACTGTTGTAAAAGTTGGTATTAAGCAACTGTTTTTAGCCGGGTGCTTAGATGCAGCGCTGAAATCAAACAAGCCAGAGGATTTTTTGCACAAAAACCAGGATAATATCAACGTTTTGTCAAAGGCAGTTTCTCATATAAAGATGTGGCTAAACATCTGACTAGATAGTTGTTCGTTCTACGGCTCTGTATTGTAGAACCACCCATTCTGTCGCCCACTTATTGCAGAGCCCTCTGGGCCCATTCTGTCGCCTTGTTGTCTGGCCCCCTGTTGCAGTGCCTCGGGGCCTTGGAAGCGTCCCTGTTGCTCCAGCGTCTCTCCATCAACCGTTGTGCCCATCCGTTTTTTATTTCTGGAGACGGTTGCCGCGGTTAATGTTTAGTTGTTCAATAACAACCTGGAAATAAGGTAACGATTGCTGTTTCAGATGATCTTAAACTATATTTTTTGCTGATGTTCTTTCTTGGCTTGTGGGAGTGCTAGCTTACGCGGATGCAGTTTGCTGCATGAGCAGAAGGCAATGAATACATACAACGCACGAACTCTATGAACCATGCTCGGATTCCTGCCTTCATTGTGGGCCCATGGTTTTTCTTTTTGGTATTTTGGTGACAAGACATACCAGTAGTCCAGATTTGTAGAATCCGAAATCGGATCAGCCAGGTGGTGAACCTCCAGATCCAAGAGCGCTTGGAGGAGGACAGTTGGGGATAGGATGGTCACATGGTCGGAGATGGGACCATAAAAAATGGCCATTTGATATATGGAAATATATGGAAAATTATGATAACGCAATGGATTTAGGAATTTAGGGCAGGATTTTCAGACAAAGCCAAATCCATGCTCTGTGTTCAATCGTTTTTTTCTTGACATGACGACTTTTAGTGTTGCACCACTAGCGGTAACCCAAGGTTTGCGGCGTCGCCATGATGAAAACTCTTGAGGTACACACCACTTTGATCGAAGAAAGAGTTGTGGAGGTCCCTGGAGCTGGGCATGGAATCGCCGGCAGTGTCTATATATATACTGTATATATATATTATACATATATATATTATACATATATATATATATATCTGTCGTTGACAAGAAGGAAGGAACGTGGATACGAAAAGTTTATGGTTTATCTATGTTTCTCAATTTAATATACAGTATGTGTATATATATATAATTTAATGATGCTTAGATATGCTAAACAATCTCATGTTTGGAGCGACTTTGACCCATCGGGTCCTTTCCGGGAAATCCCGAGTGCCGATGATCCCCAGCGGTGAGCCGTTGTGCTGTAGCCTGGGCTCGAGACAAAGCGCATAGCCGGTCACATGACAGCGCAAACGACGTTTTTTTTTTTTCTAAAGCAACAGAATCTGGGGGTGGACTGGGTTAAAGTTGGGATGCTCCATGTTTTTTGTTGATGGATATAGTTGCGCAATGATATGGTTGAAGTATCAGATGATCATCGAAAAATGGCTGAGCTGAAAATGGGTATCCCCATTAAGTGGTTTTTTGAGCTTTTTAGGGAAAACGTGATCCACCATTGGGTTTTGGGGACCCGTTGAACAGCAACCTTCGAAGATCATGGGAAGATTATCTTTCAAATCCATTTTCTGCATGTGTTCCATGTGAGTTCAGTATGTCGTCCTTTTTTTTGTGAAACAAAAACATCCCCCTCAATGACTCCGCAGCCAGCGGGAGTGGCAGGCTGGGCCATTTGCTGAGGTTCAGTATGTCTTTCGTCACTTCCCAGCTGTCTCTGGGCTAACCGTTCTCGGCACGTCTTTCTCCACCCTTTTGATCTAATTCTTCCTTGAGCTACCCTTTCTCGCAAGTTCTTTGAGCAATCACTCTTTTGAGGTTTCCGTCTGATGGAACACCTATTCATTTATCAGCGTCTTCAGTGAGACATGGTTCTTTTTTCGAGAAATGCATCGTAGACTTGATGAACAGTGCTACTGGTATCCGCTTTCATGTACAGGTACATGTGTTAGACAGTCTCCAAGAGTTCAAAACACAATGGCACGAGCGCAGAGACGTTAACAAATGCAGCAATTCCACTGCACAAAACGATTGAGAGCTGCAAAACACATGAGCACGAGAGCATAGAGGCAACCCCAAACCACCTTGACGTGGAGGATCCGCCGTGTGTGCGGAAGGCCCGCACTTTCTGAGCAAGGCCGCACAATTACAGAGTGTTTTGTGCAGTTCCTACCTTGCAGATCCTCGACGCAGTACTTCCAATGCACACAGCAGCTCTGCTTTTCAGCTCTTCTCTTGAGCCTTGAGCCACCTCGTGAGCTGTTCTCAAGGCACTCGTCTCAAGACACACTTCTGTACTCCGCTCTCCTGCTTCTTTTCGACACTCTTTTGCTGCTTCCAACTCTACCTCCATTCCTACCTGGACCTCTACCATACCTCTCCTCAGCTTCTAGTCTACTTTACTCCACTTGATTCCACTCTACTCTACTTCTAGCCGACTCTTCTCTTCTCTACTCTACCTCCACTGTTTCGCTACTCTACGCTTCTCTACTCTACCCGAATTTCTCTTCTCTGTTGCCATACTATTGTTATCTTACCTATTGTTTTTCCATGTTTTTCCTATTCTTCTCATGCGTTTCGTTGCCAACAGTCTTTATTTATCGCCCTCCCTCCTCTTGCCTCAACCCGCGCGCTTGTGCTGCCTTTTTGCGCCTTCCATGACAAATCCCATTGAGCGCGCAGGGCGGGTTCCAAGATTTCATTCCGAAGACGCGAAGACGCGAAGACGCGAGCAGCCCCCCGCAGCATCGCAGCGTCGCAGCGTCGCGACACCGCGAAGACGCGAGCAGCCCCCCGCAGCGGCGTTGCAGCGTCGCAGCGTCACGACATGTCACGACTCACGACACCGCGAAGACGCGAAGACGCGAGCAGCCCCCCAGCGGCGTGGCAGCGTCGCAGCGTTGCAGCGTTGTGAAGACGCGAAGACGCGATGAGACCCCAGCGACGTGGCAGCATCGCAGCATCGCAGCGTCGCGAAGACGCGAAGACGCGAGGAGACCCCGGCGGCGTGGCAGCGTCGCGAAGTCGCGACACCGCGAAGACGCGAGCAGCCCCCCACAGCGTCGCAGCGTTGCGACACCGCGAAGACGCGAGCAGCCCCCCAGCGGCGTGGCAGCGTCGCAGCGTTGCAGCGTTGTGAAGACGCGAAGACGCGATGAGACCCCAACGTGGCAGCATCGCAGCATCGCAGCGTCGCGAAGACGCGAAGACGCGAGGAGACCCCGGCGGCGTGGCAGCGTCGCGAAGTCGCGAAGACGCGGGGAGATCCCAGCGGCGTGGCGTCGCCGCGTCGCAGCTTCGCGACACCGCGAAGACGAGAGCAGCCCCCTCAGCGGCGTCGCAGTGATCACGGAGTCCCGGTCCCTCAGTTGCATAATATTCGAAAATCAAAACGCGAATGCCTTGCCTTCGATCTTTCTTGCTAAGTTTTCCCTGATGACACCTTTGGCGATGCCTTCAGATTTCCCCGAAGCTAAGAACCTTTTGGTCCTGCAATCTTCTTCCTCCTCCAAGATCTTGTTATATAGAAAGCCTGTCGGGGACACAGGCTGATTGAAATATCTGTATATGATTGTATATGTCTATCTAGATGTTGTCGATATAGACGTCCGAGACTGTGTATTCATAATATTTATATAATATCACCTACCTAAACTATATCGAACCACCCACGACTGTGCATAATTGATCTCAGCACTTTTCAAATCTGTATGAGCAGATGCACATTGCACCTGGCCTTCAGCCGCTCCACTTGGTCACGGTCGGGCTTCGTGGTAGGCCTGGTGCCAACCCAATTCGCAAAAACCAACATGTTCTGAGATCAGAGACCCAGTCTCAAAATTACAGCATCAATTTGCTTGATGAACGCACTTAATGCAAGAGGCCAGAAAAATCCCACATTGAAAAAAATAGGTGGTCACTTCTTAATTGGGATGAACGTCCATGTCAAGGACATGCGGTTGTGCAAAGCAGAGCTGGTGGCACCTGGAAGGTTCTGACCGGATTCCAGACGGCCTCCAGGTCACAAAACCCCCAAGAAACACCGAGAAGTTTAAGAAACGATTTCAAAGAAATCCAACCACCCGATTTGATAAGCCTCTGACATTTCCGAAACGTTCTTCTCATTGGGTATCGCCATGGAGACACTTCAGGGAAGTATACAACCCAGTTAAATTATCCTGGATATCAATGGAGATACCAAAAATTAAGTTCCAGGCATCAGTGGACCGATGGGGCACACTGCAAACTCACTAGCTATTTTGAGCAATGCAACCAGCTGGCCAAAAAAAACATGAGATGGGTTAAACTCAGTCGTTGGCGCACACACTGACAAATCCTTTGGTGCCCCTTGTAACAAAAGTTCAAGGAATGGTTCAGCCTGGACCAAAGTGGCGCCATGTGAGGGAACGCCCCCAGTGCCCCCTGCAACTTTCATGTTGAACTGGAGAAGGTGTCTGCGCCTGCGCTCTCAAAAATCTTGCGCACTAAAAAGTCCAAACGGATTACGCGAAAAATCACATACACACGCACATGCTGCATAATTACACGTGTATGTACACGCGTCCTTGTTCCACCCCCCCGTATCCATGCGCATAAACCAAGCACACACACAGTATATAAATACCATACGAAACTGATTTTCCAGGATGTTATCTTGTGAATTTTTTGGTTAGTTCTTTTTTATTATCCATTTTGCCGATGCCGTAATGTCTGGGTGGTGATATCTATCTGGGAACCTAGGATATTTGTATATGTTTTCAGGAGAAAGACATGGTGGTTCCACCCAGACAAATCATGTTTGATAGAGTCCAATTCGTGATCACTTCGTTTCGTACTGCGTTTGAAATCTTTGTCAAGTGAGAACCAGGGAGTACAGTAACCAGGACGCGTATCTACACAGCCAATAAGTATGAGACATTTAGTAGAACAGATATGGTTGTCTCGTGTTGATCCACTGGGAGCAGGGCCCTCCAAAAGTACACCCCACAACCGCACACTGTGACGAATTCATTGTGCCAGAGTGATCCAGAGTGACGCACCATGACTTGAGCCAAACCATCCCAAAGCCCAGGTTGCGATGGCGTGGCGAAGGCAACAAAACAGTTAACCATAAAAAAAGGGGTTGGGGGTTTTGTGCATTTGGTTCATTTTTTCCACGCGAAAAGTGGTAGGTTTGGGGTTGAAAACACCAACCAGCAATCTTTGCGGAGAATCGCATCCAGGATGAAACTGTTTCACAGGACTTTTCAGAGCATTGGCTCGCAAAATGTGAACGAACGAGACAGACAGACAGACAAGACCAGACAGGCCAGCCAGCCAGCCAGCCAGCCAGCCAGACAGACAGACAGACACACAGACACACACACAGAAACACACACGCACACACACACACACCTGGCTTGAAAAGCACATTCTTACCATTTGAGGTGTTCTGGTAGCAGAATGAACCAGGAAGAAATCATCCAGTTTCTGCAATCTTTTGTCTGATGGATGTAGAGTTTTGCCATTTTCTGATCTGCAAGGTGACGACGAGAGAAGCGACCTATACTTTCGATTCAAGAGCGCAGAAAGTCATGTAAGGGATCAGTGCCGGAGACTGAGGGCAAGGGTAGCCAAGGTATTGACCTTGCTTGGAGTTTTTTTGGAAGCATGCCTCCATGACTGGCAAATTGTTTCCTGTGATGCGCTCCTGTTGGCTCAGAACCATGCATTTGTAGGTTGACTGCCGGGGGGGAGCCCAAAGGGCACAGATCATTTGAGATCTTTGCTTTTACCTGCCGCCGAATGGCGCCATGGTCGCTCTCCTGGCATTTCCTTCTCCCCTTCCTGGGCTCTGTTTGGGTTTTTGCTGAAGCAGAGTCCACTTGCTTCGCGAATGCCGTTGCTGAAGGGGACCGGAAATTTCTTTCAGGCCCAAGCGGGCCTTATCCCATCGGCGTTTGGGTCTGCGATTGGCCAGCAGCCTATGTAACTTCAGAAGTGGTCCACATCTTGCTCGAAGAAATTCTAGGATTTCGCGTTGTGCAGACGGGCCCAGGACCCAGCACGGTTGACCCTTGGTGAAAGTCTTCGGATGTTTTTGTGAGGTGTTCTTGTGAACTCTCGTCTGGCTGGGCTGTTTTGGACTGAACATACAACATAATACAAAAGGTTCAAGAGGCCTTCTAAAGATTCTAAAGATTTGTAAAGAGGATTGTGTGATATTGTGTGAAAGTTTCTCTTGCTTGCCGTCCCTTGTTTGTTTGATCTTGTTTGCACAAGCGCCACCCTGCGACCTGCGCCGCTCAGGATGGATTTTTTGCACTCACAGGCTGTGCAACACCGACCAACATCGAGGAAAAGAACAGTTCCTTTTTTTGCTTCTGCAGGTTGCCTGAAGGTTTCAGATGTTTTTTAGCGAATTCTAGGGATGGACATCATTTATAATGAAATCAAAAGATGCAATCTTGGGCGCCGTGGATGGCCATGATTTGTCAGTGGTGTTAAAGGTGTTTTCGGGCGTGGGTAGCACCTTCCCCTTGGGCTGTGGTGATTGGACATCAGTGGCCTTTTTGGACGCTGCGTTCGTGGAAACTCAAGACCTTTGGGGAGAAAAATTGCATAATTGCAAACAACACTCGCTCCCTTGCTTCACCTCACCAAGATGCTTAATGCTTCTTTATGCTTCTTTCACGCGCTTTTCAAAAAATGGTTAATGAATGTTTATTCCCCGAAATATGGTAATAATATGGCAATGTCATAGGTTTTGACCCATCCCTAAAATGATCACCAAATTCCCCGTCCAAAATCGTGCTGGTTTGATTTGGTTTGAACGGTCAAGTGCCATGCTTGGAGTTGAGGCTGGGTCAAGATGTTGCCACAATATTGCCATAATGGGTTAAAGGGAAACCTGTAAACCTAGCAGAAATGTTTCAGGGTTGCTCCAACCATATAGGTACATGATAGTGACAAGGGGTGTAAGTTGAACAAAAATGCATCTCGTTAATTTAATCTACCCCTCTTGTACCTGGGGTGCTGAGCAACTCTGTGTTTGAGGTTGTTCGCAAGACATTTGCTTCACAAAAAACAAAGTGTGACTGATAGAAGCCTGTAGTTGACCGTTGGGAATATGCCATGCTACTATACACAACTCCTGTGCGACGCTCTCGTTAAAAACCTTCGTTGAACGTGAAACACTTTCACGACTCGTGTGAGACACTGGGGACGCTCTGTGAGAGGCACTATTTTGAGGCACCCTTAGGGTATACTATCTGTTTATTTAACATAGCCATGGAAAATCACCATTGTTAATATATAGGTAAACCATCTATTTCTATGGGCCATTTCCCATGGCTATGTTAAATAACCAAAGGGTACTCTTGCAAGACTCCCTTTAAAGACTCTCCTGAGGCGCGCTTAAGATACTCTCTTGAGTCGCTCTTGTCGGATAGTCCTTTAAGATGGTCTTGTGGGACACTACTGTGAGACATTGTGAGACACTCTCGTAGGACACTGTCGCAAGACGCTCTTGTTAGTAATTGTTCTGAGACACAGCACCACTTGGGATGCCTTGTGGGATACTTCACCTTCTCGTGGGACACTCCTGTGTGGCGTTCTTTTGAAACACTATGAAACACTCTTTGTGTGACAGTCTGGTTTAAATAAGCAGGTTAAACATTTGGAAGACAGTGACATATCTTGACATCGCTGTTGGGCAAAGACCAAGTACTGCGCATGCCACCAAATTGTCGCGTGACACACACATGCTGAGCATCATAATCTCTTTGCCAGCCCTGCAATTGCGGAAAGCTAAACGAGAAGAGAAAAATCACCCCAACTACGCGCCTGCCGCGCAATGCGACATTCAACACCCTTCAGCTGCTGACTCCAGCACCTCATGGGATGCTGCATCTGCCGGGTGAAATGTTAGTCTCAAAATTATTGCGCTTCGCGCGCAATTTGCGCTTCCTGATTCCATTGGGGAGAGGTTCCATTGTTCGTAAAAGGGCTGAAAACATAATACATCTACAGCTCTGTACCTGCAACACGAAGCTGGACTTCTCCCAAGCATTCTGCCGCAAAAAACGGCATTTCCACACGAATGCCTATGGTAAAGTCATGGTTCATGTTCAGCGGTTGCAAAGTGCATCGGCGGATATGCCAAGGGTGCTGGTGGCTGTGTGCTCCAAAGGTCCATCTATTATAGTGCTTATATATAATAAGTGCACCGAGATGGCTGTGGCGTAGGTGTGCCATTGCGTGTTAAACGAGGGTGAGTGCCATGGGGTGGGGCGTGTTAAAACCCAGGGCCTGCAGTTCTTCTGAGTTCATGTTTTCCATGCATAGGCTGCATAGACGTCTTATCTTCATCTATCCTGAATGAGCCAGCTATCTTCCGTTACCCAATTTCTGGTATTGACCGGCCACGATTTTCTGTTTCGTCCCACCCAACTGTAGCCCCGTTGCCTCGGACCGGCCTGACCAGGACCGCGGATGTTCGGCAGAACCCGTGGTTACTACAAACCATATCAACGTAGAGGGTTGGACTGAGTCGTATGCCAGCACATGGGCGGAGATTGAGCGCGACTACCCGCAGAATGCGCCGAGAAATTTGGGCAATATGGGCTTCTTGATATGGTGGGGGAGTGGTGTGTGTTCCCTGTTTCACTGCATGATTTTAATTGGATTCCTTGATCTGTGTGCTCCATGAAGACGTTTTCTCGTAGGAGTTTTCTACATCCTAAAACTGAAAGGATCTACTACTTGAAGTCACATTTGAGGGTTCTAAAGATTGGACAATTCACCAAATTATCTTATTTCGTGCGATCCGCACCATGATCAACACATTCGGGCAAAATCATTTCACATATTTATATATGAATCCTGAAGACATAAATTATGACATTATGCATTCTATCTTGACATTGATTTTGACATATTGACAGACAGGTGTTTGACATTTATATTGACACAACCACTGGCATATAGTTTGACCTGTAGCCTGGCATCCATTATGACATATCTTCAGACACTGATCCGAACCTAAATATCAACATTTGATCTGGCAAACTTCATGTGACATAGATTCTGAATGATTCTGACGTGTATTCTGCAATATATTCTGACATTTGACTGGGCAAGTTTTTCATGTGACACTTATTTGACGGCATATTTCGATTTGCTCAGACGGTACTTGGTGCTTCGTCTGGTGCGCATCACATCCCATGATTGGCCCATATTGGCCCCATATTGGCCCCATATTGGCCCCATATTGGCCCCATATGGCCCCATATGGCCCCATGGATCGGCGGTTCAGCGTTAACATCATCAACGGCTGAGGCTATTTTGGGAAGACCTCCATGTACCTGCCCGCGAATATAAGACAAGCGGCCTACAATGCAGAAGGCATCTTGGATTTGACACTATTTGACAGCAAGTAACTCGTGGAGGGTGCAAGCTTGTGGGCTTGAGAGTTGTAATGGATATGTGGGGTGACCATCTTGATTCACTGCCCTAAATATGACTGGAGATAGCTGATAGCTGTTCATGACAACTGCTTCGGGAATGTTGTTTATTTTCATACATTACAAATGATCGAAGGAAGTTTAGAAGTCAAACTTCCGACAATATGGACAGATGAAAAGCAGAGATGGGAAGAGTCAGAGAAGAGAAGAGAAGAGAAGAGAAGAGAAGAAGAAAGAAGATCAAAAAAGAGAAAGTCTCAGAAGAAAGAAGATCCAGGTGCGCGAAAAGGTAGGAACGTCGCGAAGCACAGTGTTTTTCGAATGATTTGTGGCTCCGGAGGGTCGAAGAGTAGGCCCGCTAAAGCGGCGGGTGCAGAGCCAGCTGGCCAGATGAGAGATGAAAAATTGCACGCCGTTGTGGCCAGAAGCACATTTCCAACTCAAAATGCACAAGCCACACCAACGTCGGACCACTTTTAGAAGTTGCGACGTCGAAAAAGTGCACGCCGTTGTGGCGCGAAGCACATTTGCAAGTGAAAAAGGCAAAAGCACCTCACGTTCGGAGCACTTTTAGAAGTTGCGATGGCAAAAAAGTGTACGCCGTTGTGGCACGAAGCACATTTGCAAGTGGCACTTTTAGAAGTTGCGATGTCGAAAAAATCCAGGCTGGTTGTGGCGCAAAGCACATTTCTAATTCAAACTGTACAAAGCACACCAGCGTCAGACCACTTTTAGAAGTTGCGATGTCGAAAAAGTGCACGCCGTTGCGGCGCGAAGCACATTTGCAAGTGGCACTTTTAGAAGTTGCGATGTCGAAAAAGTGCACGCCGTTGTGGCGCGAAGCATATTTCGACGTCAAAAGTGCAAAAAACTGAGGGGTACGGAGCACTTTTGGACGTTCAGCTCTCGTTTTGCGTGGCAGGCGATGGGGATTGTGCACCTTTTCAAAGGTGAGCAAAACATGAGGGTTTTGTGGCAGTTTTAAAAATGATGGCAGGGACATTTGAGGAGGATCTGGAAAGATGCATTTCGCGTGGCAGGCGCGGTACAAGAGACATGTTCACCAGAGATGTTAGGAGGTCAGGGTGCTGATTTCCTGAAAGGGGTTACATTTTGGAGCATAAGGTCTTCAGTTTGGGGAAGATGATTTTGCGTGGCAGGTGCAGCACTTCGTATGATCTGGCATCAATTTTTCGTGGCAGGCGAGTACTTTAGACCGGTGGAGTGGAAAAATCGCAAAACGCATTGGTACGAGGACATCAGCTCTGCACTCAACTTTCCATTTTTGAAGGAAGTCTCGCAGAACTGCTTCCTTTTTTTTATGTTGTCAACTTAAAAAATGATGAAGTCTCGCAGAATAGCTGCGTTTTTGACGTTGTCAAGTTCAAAAGTTGAGGAAGTCTCGCGGAATTGCTGCATTTTTGATGTTCTCAAGTTCAAAAATTGAGGAAGTCTCGCAGAATAGCTTTGTTTTCAAGTTTGCAGATAGATAGACAGATAGATAAAACAGAAAGACAAATAGATAGATGGACAGATAGATAAACAGAAAGGCAAATAGATAGACAGATATATAGATCGACAGAGAGATAGACAACTGCAACTGCACTACACCACACTACAACTACAACTACAACTACAACTACAACTACAACTGCAACGACACGACCACTACAAGTACAACTTCAACTACACTTCAACTACAAGAACTGCAGCTACAACCACAACTACAAGTTCAACTACACTACAACTACAGCTACGACATGCTACAACCTCAACTACAATTACTACAACTACAACTACAAGTGTCACTACAACTACAACTGCAGGACAACTGCAGTACAACCACAACTGCAACAACTACTACAACTAACTGCAACTGCAGCTACAGCTGCAACTACAAGTACGACTACAACTTCAGCTACACTACAATTACACTTCAACTACAAGTTCAACTTCAACTTCAACCACACAACCACAACAACAATTACCACGACACTACACTACAACTACAACTACCACTACAACTACAACTGCAGTTACAACTACCACTACAACTACAACCCCTACAACTATTGCAACTATTATATACAATTTCTAATATTAAGACAGTTACAACTTCAACTACACTTCAACTACACTTCAACTACAACTACAACCACGACTACAACTACAACATTACAACTTCAACAACATAAACCCCACTACAACTACAACTACAACTACTGCACTACACCGCACTACATCCAGGAGTTGTGAGTGAGGTGACCACTGCAACCATTGCAACCACTCCAAACAGCACAACTCCCACCACCTTTCGGTCCATCAGTGGATTCACTCTGTCACCCATGCATCGCAACAACTCACCTCTCCTATAGTGTCCTATTCCTGAAACTTCCGCCACCGCCTTGTGCGGTACCACTGGTAAAAACGCATAGATTGCGTGCCGATGTAATGTAATGTAATGTCATGTATTGTCATGTATTGTATTGTATTGTATTGTAATGTAATGTAATGTAATGTAATGTAATGCATGTAATGTAATGTAATTTCATGCAATGTAATCTGATCTGATCTGAGCTGATCTGATGTGATATACTGCAATATAATGTATGTATGTGTTCAAGTTATAGGTCAACGGTCGACGAAATTTGATGAATCTTAGTACTCTTCTCAGTGGCCCCGCTGCCTATTAGTGACATTAGCATAGCTTGGGCTTCATGATATTTTTTTGATTGGGAAATGGCCAGTCGCACTGTGCGCAGAGGCTGGATCTTGGAGTTCTACCGGGGCTTCAATGTGTCCTGGACCCAGCCCGCCAAGTACTTTGACCATCACAGCAGCATCGACAAAGACCGGCTGAAAAAATGCGTGGATACCAGGCTTATGGTCAGCCAGGCACCAGGGAAGGATTCCACCTGAGCCGGGGGGTTTGATGTGGCCAGTTGTTTTGCTGGTTTTGGGAACCGTATGGAAGGTTCTGTGTGATTCGTATGTGGACAGAAAACCAAGAATGACTTGGAATTGTTGGTAGAAAATCCATGACTCAGAAATGATTCCTCACCTGCCATAGGCGATGGAGGTGTATGCAGACATCACGGGAGACTGGCATGGAGTGGAAATCCTGACGGATGACAACGGCAACCGTGTCGTGAGGGGTAAATGTTGGGATGAGTACTTCTGGTATCCGCCTGCATGCCGCGACGCTTGTCATCGGAGTCCCAAGTTGTGGATGGGTTTCTAGTTGGATGGAACTACTATAGGTCCTAAATGGTCCTAAATAGGTGACAGTGGAACCAGTACATGCCCCAATTTGTGGACCGCATTTGGAGTGAGGACGAGCCTTCCAAGTGCGTGATCTTCTTTACCGGGGGAAGTGGTTGGAATTTGGAGGAGACCATGCAGAAAGCCACCGCCTGGAACATGCCCCTGGCTCCTGCAATTGCAAAAACTTGGGGGGACTACACCAAGCTTCCACTGCAGATCGGTAGTACCTTCTATTGGTGGGCCCCTGGGCAGCCAAAGATGTGAGAAGCTGGTTGGTTGGTGGAAGATGACCTTAATTTGAATCGTTCGAGGTTCCGCAATATTCAGAAACATGCAATGTTTAGTTGAACCCAACCTGAGGCCCAGCATTTCCTTCCATACTTCTTGAACCTAATGCCTAAGTAAAGCCTCGCTGTTAATCTGGCTTTGGAGATTTTTTTTTGACAGCAGCTGCGAGGTTCATCCATGTTCGTCCCAATTTTCATGCGAGGCCACAAGTGAAACAGATCCGAACTTCTGAAATCCAAGATGTCTGGAGCATCAGCAAGAAACGACGATGATATCTTCCACTCAGATCCACACCCTAGATATGTCATCTTTTTCCAATGACTTTTCTGAGGTACCAGATCCCACCTTCCTGTTGTTGGATCCTGTGGAAATCACCTTCCCACCCTTTGATCGCACCGCGTTTCTACGGGGAGACAAGCGCACCTCACCGACTGCCTTGTCAGTGGACAAGTATGTGAGCCAGGACTGTGGGACAAGGCCAAATCTCAGTCAGCCAAGCTGTCATAGAATTACGGCCAGGCGCTGCGTGTTGCCCGGAAAGTTCACATGGCGTTTAAGCATTATCCTTCAACATGCTCAGACACCTGCGCAGGGCCAGTGTTTTGAGATTTCCCAGACGACGAGCTCAAACCCTAAATCCTAAACCATCCTAAACCCCAAAACCCTAAAACCTAAAACCCTAAAACCGTAAACCCTAAACCCAAGCTGTCATAGGCTGGGGCAGAGTTGCAGTCAATGGTGTTGTGACTTGGCATGCTTTCCAAGAAATTGCTGCGCGATATTTAAACACAACGGCTGCCCCAGGACCTTCAGACTTTGGCGCCTGAAGCACACCATTTGGTTCGGGGCATGGTCATGGACTTGGAGGGAGTGAATGACATGCTTCGAGATCAGTTAGAGACAGGCGGGCCCCAAATCCACAGAATGAACAACGGAGTACTCTCGCTAAAACGAACGTAGTGGAACAAAGTAAAAACACTGGTTCCTTGTGAGGTCAAATATGTTAATGATGGGGTATGTCGGTGCCTCACATAACAGAGTCCATGTTAGTGCACATTTTGTTTAGTGATGTTGCGCGAATTTGGTAGGAATTCATGATGGATCCTGCGTGTTGCTATCAAGGCTCAACCAAGAGTTCCGTGTCAGTGTTAAGTCGCTACGCGAAGAATTCTGGGGCTAAAGAGAATGAAATGTCGGGTGCTCTACGTCCAATTGTTCAACTTTTTGCAAAATATCCACAGGACCCCCACGGAAAGGTTCCATGTTCAAAAAAAATGCCCAAGTCCAGATTCAGGCCCAAAGGTGTCAGAAAACATCACACTTTTACTTTTACCATCTTTTACCTTCAGTACCCTAATTCCAGTTTTTCTCCATTTTGTTCCTCGCGAAGCGAAACACACCCACCCGTTCCATCTCAGCTTTTCCACCCGCTCTGAGTTTGGATTTCCAATGAAAAAACTCAGATTTCAACCCGAGCCCGTTTTTAATTGGAAGACTTTCATGTCCAAAGTGTTTAGTTGTGACTTTTTTGGGACTAAACCGAGTGGGGGAGGTCTTGTGGAATCATTGATTCCGATATATTCCGATCATTTGGTGGTTCGATGAATTACATGGTACAACCATCATTAGGAACCATGCTCACTGCGCTTCGCAGGCTGCCGGGCACTTTAACCGCTATATCTAATTCCCCACATCTTTGTGTGGGGTTCTTGTTTTTGGTTGTGTACTCCCGCCGCGCCTTCCCACCTGCCGCCCCACATGCTCACCAACAACTTGCTCACACACAACTTGTCCACACAACTTCCTCACATACAACTCACACACACCCAACTTGCTCACACACAACTTGCTCACACACAACTTACTCACAAACAACTTGGTCACACACCGTCACTTTGCGTGGCAAGCGTGGCACTTGGTGACATCGACCGTCACTTTGCGTGGCAGGCGTGCACCTTATATGGCACTGGACTGGCTCTGGTGGCGCGCTTGGGCCGCAGTGGCCGCCCGTTGTCGCCGCGGCTGCTGGCGTGGCAGGCGTGGCACTTAGTGACATCGACCGTCACTTTGCGTGGCAGGCGTGGCACTTAGTGACATCGACCGTCACTTTGCGTGGCAGGCGTGGCACTTATGGCACTGGACTGGGTTCGGTGGCGCGCTTGTGCCGCAGTGGCCGCCCGTTGTCGCCACGGCTGTTGGTGTGGCAGGCGTGGCACTTGGTTCTATCGGCCGTCGCTTTGCGTGGCAGGCGTGGCACTTAGTGACATCGACCGTCACTTTGCGTGGCAAGTGTGGCACTTATGGCACTGGACTGGCTCTGGTGGCGTGCTTGGGCCGCAGCGGCCGCCCGTTGTCGCCGCGGCTGTTGGCGTGGCAGGCATGGCACTTGGTGACATCGACCGTCACTTTGCGTGGCAAGTGTGGCACTTATGGCACTGGACTGGCTCTGGTGGCGCGCTTGGGCCGCAGTGGCCGCCCGTTGTCGCCGCGGCTGTTGGCGTGGCAGGCGTGGCACTTGGTGCTATCGACCGTCGCTTTGCGTGGCAGGTGTGGGACTTGGTGACATCGGCCGTCACTTTGCGTGGCAGGCGTGGCACTTATGGCACTGGACTGGCTCCGGTGGCGCGCTTGGGCCGCAGTGGCCGCCCGTTGTCTCCGCGGCTGTTGGCGTGGCAGGCGTGGCACTTAGTGACATCGGCCGTCACTTTGCGTGGCAGGCATGGCACTTTTGGCACTGGGCTGGCTCTCACACCATCTTTGACCCACCACTTTGTCACACACCATCTTTCACACACCGTCTTTCACACACTATCTTTCACACACAACTTTGTCACACACCATCTTTGACGCTTTGTCACACACCATCTTTCACACACCACTTTGTCACACACGATCTTTGTCACACACCATCTTTCACACACAACTTTGTCACACGCTCTCTTTCACACACAACGTTGTCACACACCATCTTTTGCCACACCATCTTTCACACACCATTTTTGTCACACACACCATCTTTCACACACAACTTTGTCACACGCTCTCTTTCACAAACCATCTTTCACACACAACTGTGTCACACACCATCTTTGATACACCATCTTTCACTGCTAATTTTCCACTTGGGTTGGTCCCCAAAAAAAGCCCCCCACAAGTCCCAAAATCTTTCATAAAATGCAGGGAAAACACTGTTTTGTGGGGACTTGTGGGGGCCTTTTTTGGTGAACCAACCCAAGTGGAAATTTACCATCTTTCACACACCGCTTTGTCACCCACCATCTTTGACACACCATCTTTCACACACCATCTTTCACACACCATCTTTCACACACCATCTTTGACACACCATCTTTGACACACCATCTTTGACACACACACACCATCTTTGATACACCATCTTTCACACACCCCGCTTTGTCACCCACCATCTTTGACGCACCACTTTGTCACACACCATCTTTGACACACCATCTTTCACACCACTTTGTCACACACACCATCTTTCACATACAACTTTGTCACACACAACTCTTCACATACAACTTGTTTTACTTCTCGATCCTCCACCACCTCCTTTGTCTTTCCTTCCTTCCCCGTCCCGCTACAACATTTGTTGCCCATTATTGGAAGAAGTTGACATGGGGTTATCCGGTACTTTAATTCTTTTGGATTTTGGGACACTGACTCAAAATGGGTTTTGAAGTTTTATGGCCTTAAAAGTCCATGCGGAACGCTTCAAACATCAACGGTAACATTCCCCGGAAGTGTTTCGTATTCAATTTTTTCCCAACCACTAACCTGGAACCTTTGGCGTCCTTGAGTGGGACTCAAGGGGCATTCTGAGCTTAGAATCTCCCAGTAAAATCCCAGATTTTGACCCCCGTTGGAGTCAAAAGTGTTGATTTGCGTTTTTTGTTGGGCAAATAAGTCAAGTTGGGAGGTCTTTTTGAGTGATTCCAACCATTTACTGGGCAAATTCCTGGTTGGCATGGAAATCACCCCTTCAGTGTCACAGATGCGCTTGTTCAAATTTATCGTTAGCATATTTTAGTTGTTTCAAAGTGGAGTTTGGGTGCAAGTCGGGTGCTGTGGGGAAGGAATGGTCTTATACAAAATGTTAGTTGCATGATGTCTCGCGTAGCAAAATCAATTCAACACTGTAACAGGTGTCCATGTTGGCGGACGATAAGAACATCCGATTTGGGCCTGCTTAGATTTGACGAGCACAGGTGAACTGGTTCCCAAAGGTAGGAAACACGACTGCTGTGACACTGCCCGCTTTCCCCAGGTAACTCCAGTCGGGATGTGGCCTGTCGTTGGCTTCATGGGCACGAGGATGTGTGGAAACCCTGGTTGCCAGATCCCACCAAGTGCTTCAGTGGCTTTGGTCTCTATCATCAACCAAGCAGCAACTTCGTGTCACTCAGCTTGTGAAAGCTCTGGGACTCTAAGAGACAACGTGGGTATATAGAATCCATGGATGTCCATGCAAGCGGTCGTTCCCAGCTGACCAGATGAACAGCTTAGCCTGCTATGTTTGCATTTGGACTCAGTGGACGTTTTCCATCACCTGTCACCCAGGACGAACCGACGAGATCCCACTGGGTTGATTTGCAATCCGTGTCCATCAGGTCAGGTTGATCCAGAAGATGTGTCAAAATTGACTGGAATTTTTAGTTTCTTTTTGAGTATACATATATATATTATAATATATCTAATTAACATTATTAAAAGACAATTGAGACAAAGCGCAAGAAAGATCCAGAGAACTCATGATCCTTATGTTGGCTGCTGCAACTTGTGCTCACATTCGCAATGATTCACTGCGGTTGGAGTCCCGCAGGCACATTCTCCTCCAAATTGGCTGACGACGCAGGGATTACCTTTGTGTGCGAGCCCTGCCCAGCAGGCACCAAACAACCTTCAGGCGCGTCCGTTGAGTGCGTTCCGTGCAAGGAAGGAGAGTACCAGGTATGAAAAAGGCAGCATCTCCTGCAAACGGTGTGGAGTGGCAAAATACCAAGATCAGACAGGTGCCTTGTACTTGAATTCTATTGCCGTCGACTCCCCTATTCAGAAATTTGATTTTGAGGTTCATTTGATTTAGTGTGTGAAAGTAAACAAGAATCTCAAGTCTGGCGTGAGGGTACAGGAAGCAAAAGCTTGCCCTGGGGTAGTCTATTGTTGGATTTGGGAAACATAGCTTTATTGCGGGGTAGTTTCGAAATCGCGGCCGAACATTAGTTGCAGATTTGGGAGTTGGAACTGTCAGAGGTCTTCTTCTTTGTCCATGGTCCACCTTCAGAATTTGCTTGGAATCAACTCCTGCCGCGGCCGCTCCAGACCTAGGTGCAACGGGATGCAAGGGGTGTCCACTGGATACTTCAACGCATGGACTCGGCTCCCAATTTTTGGGAGATTGTGGATGCAAAGAAGGTCACGGGTCGGCGGTTTCAACAACATTTAGCCATGTGTTTGGAAGCTCTTTTGACACACCTTGTGTTGATGTGACAGATGATGCTCTTCCAGGGACACACTTTTCAAAATTGATGGCTCAAAACTGATGGGGAATCCAAACAACCAGCAGATTCTTGGTAAGGGTTGATTCATTGCCAGGCTTCATCAACTTGGGGAATGCAGCGGCGGCTCAGTGTATGACATGTCCTAAAGGACTACGATGCCCCTTGGGCTCGAGCCTCGAGTCCCTGAAGACCGGCCAAAGCAGTTTTGGGGAGACATTCACTCCCACAATTCTGCCAGGATATTGGAGCACTGAGGAGTCTGGGGTGGAAATTGATTTGAACTGAATTTTGCTCCTTTTTGACATGTTTTGACAATATTGGAGAAGGCAGGTGTTGACCCATGGTGGTTAATGAGGATTACTTCAAACATCTATATAAATTATCAGGGGAATTCTGTACAAGCAATCCACGAGACACGTGAAGTTGCAGAGGAGGAACCCATTGAAGTCTTCAAATGCCAGAGCGTGGAGCACTGTCCCGGCGGAATTCCTGGGATATGTCCTGGAGGCCGCGAAGGGATTCCCTGTGCAGATTGCCCCCCGGGTACGTCATGGAGTGGTGAGGAATGCGTGCAGTGCTCTAACGGCCTTGTGGTGATTCCGTTTCTCGGAGCGGAGAAGACATGAGAAAACACAAAATAGGCATAGCTAGAAGGTAGAAACATGGTAATAGCATGTAATAGCACACTTTTTGATCTGATTTATTCCTTTTTCAATTCCGCATCCTCTAGAATTGAATTTCCTTGCCATGGCCACGTGCCATGAACAGCACATCCAAGGATATTGACTGGCATCATGTTCTTCGTGGTTTTGATCATTGTTTATTATGTGATGCCACCACGCATTCGGCCAAAGGCAACCCCGAGGGAAGCACTTGCAATGTGCACTGGGGTTGCTGCAGGGTTGGCTCAGTGCTTGGCCATCATCGGATTGACGTCAGTCAGGTGGGGGTACGGGTAAACACAATGTGCAAACAGGCCACATAAATGGATTTGTCCTGTTTTGGTGGCCGAGTTTCGGATTCCAAACTTGACTCATCTCCAGGTGGCCAAAGGCTTTCGATTCCGTTGCTTCGAGTTCTTCCGTGGTCTTGCTGGACATAGAGACCTTCTCCGTCTCCTGCATGATTGGTGGACCGCAGTGGGGGCGCTACATCATGAGCCTTGCAGTGTTTCCTCTCGGAGTTCTGTGGCTGATGTTTTGCTTCATGTCATCTGCATGGCTCCCGGACTGGACTGGTGGCCCATGGACTTCGACCCGACTGTTGAACACCTTGGGGCACTTCCTCCAGGTAGGCTTCAGCACCATGAGCGCTTTATCCCTGCAGCCTCTGATGTGCCAAGAGCATCCGAACGGTCAACATAGCCTGCTGAAACATGCTGGCGTGTTCTGCAGCACTGGGGAGCACGTGCTCATGGTGGCGGGTGGCATGGCGATTCTGATCTTCCTCGTGGTCGGCTTCTTGGGCATGTGCGCTTGGGCAGCATGGCATATTCCGCGCTGGAGCCTCATCCGCCCTCACCGAATTCGGGCCTTTGCTTTTCTCATCAGTCGCTTCAGGATGGACCGGTGGTGGTATGGTGTGCTGGTCCTCCTCCGGGGCCCCTTGCTCTCCATGTGCCCTGTTTTGGCAACAGACTTCCCGCTGGCACAAGCAGCGATGATCTCGGGTGTCCTGATTGCCAGCCTCTTGTTGCACATGCGCTACACTCCATGGAAAATGCCCCTGGTGAACTTGGTGGACGGTTGCCTGCAGGCTATGCTGCTCCTTCTTGTGGCCATCACACCAGTAGACCCAGGCTCTGCCAGTGCCACCGAAGATTTCCACCAGGGAATTGCCTTGGTGATGTTGTCTTGCATGGCCTTTGTCTTCTGCTTCTTGGCATTCTCTGTAGCCTTGGCACTACTTTACCAAGTGGTGGCGTGGGCCACTCACCGCAGCGGTGGATCACCTTTGACTTTCACCGAGGCGGGCATCAATCAACTTTGCACGCCATCAAAGCAACAGGTTCGATCCTTTTCCTCTTTCTCCTCTCCTCGCCTCTCCGCTCCTCTCCCTCCCCTTCGCTCCGCTCCTCTCCCCTTTCCTCTCCTCCCCTCTCCTTGCCTGCTGTCATAGCAAGCTTGCGGAGGTCTCTGTGTCATCCTGGATCTATCCGGAGTCTGTGTTCCCGAACTTCATCAGATACTGCAGCAAGCTAGTGCCCTCTCTGTGTCAGCCCTTCTGCCAGTCTGGTGCGCCACAGGCTTTCGGTATAGGCACCTGTCAGGATATACAGAAGATATGTCAGAAGATCTGTCCGGATATAGCTTAGGACATGCCAAGATAGATGTCATGCCATATTGCATGTCAGAAAACTTGTCAAAGTAAATGTCAGAAAATATGTCGGAAGATATCTCAGAATAATTCAGAAGGTATGTCAGTATATGGTCAGAAAAACGGTACGAATACATGTATGTCAGAGAAACTGTCGGAATATATTATAGATCCATGCCAGATGATGCCAGGATGTCTTATTTAATTATGCCACGAAGGGGTTCAGACGAAGTCGAACACACGAAGTCAAACAATTCTGGTAGCAACTAAAGCCTGAAGGGCCTAATTACAGCATTTGTAGCTGTTACTCCCCTTGCAACTTTCCTTGCAACTTGAAATCGACACCGATTTCGGCCAGGATTTCGTTGTCTTGAACTTGGGACGTCGCCACAGCAGTGCAGTGACAGTGGAGCTTATCAAGGAGGTCAGCGTCGGGGGCACTGCCTGGCACTGGGGTGTGGTGACCATGATGGTTCTGACGAAATCCAAAAAAGGCTTGGAGATGATTTCCATGGAGATCAGGTTTCATCAGTTTCATCATTGGGTTGCAACAGCATCTCAGGAGCTTTTTGGGTATCATGAAGTTGGTATGGCTTAGAATGAAATGAAATACTGTCACGCACCGTTCCAGCTGGGATCTCCCGTCGAAGGTTTTACTCTTACAAAGGCACACAAATGCAGATGAAGTGCAATGAAACTCAAAGATTTTTAAATCATTGAATCCGAGTTCCAGACATCATGAGTTCCAGCCAACAACACAGAAAGACAATCGCCATTTGCAATGGGGAATTCAGGCGATTTCATCCCACCAGATTCAACCGGGGGGATCCCCAGGTATCTGGAAGACTTCTTGAGATGGAAGCTGACAAGGCTGAGCACCACTTGGACCAAATGTGGCTGGCAACCAATTTAGTATCCCATATTTCAACATATATCCAATATATATTCAGAAATGTCCCAGCTAGTTTTGGGGTGCCATCCAAGTTAGCCGCGTCGTTGCGGCTATGGGTTAAGTCATTATTGGCAAGCCATGGATGGTGTGCTGCTCCAAGCGGCGACTCAATCTCCCCATCCGGCCAAATTGCATGGCTGCGTCTGAAATTGGGGTATACCACCCAAATTGGGACAAATGATGATTAAATCATGAAATCCGTGAAATCCGTGGGTTAACTGGGTCGCCCCCACATCTGACATCGGGATTTTTTCCCGGAGACCGAGGCATCCTGACGATCTCTCGCGGATCATCGACACGATTAACTTGCTTCAAACGGAACTTGCTCCTGGTGATGCTGCGGCTCCGAGGAGCAGCGCCAGTAGCAGGGTGGGGGTTGGTCGAAAACGTTCATTTGACAACTTCGATAACTTCGATTTGATGCCGAAGTTGTTGAAGAATAGTGTTTCATATTGTTTCATAGTGTTTCAATCTTAAAGGTATCGAAGGAGTGGTCTTTCCATGTCCAGAACAAGCAACGAGGTCGTGTCCCTTCGAAAGAGTATGACGAGCGACATGAAGAGCGACCTGCAACCCGCAGCAATGAGTGATGAGCATGGAGGAGGGGAATCCATGGCGGAGGCCAGGATTTTGATCCCTATACACTCCAGCGAAATCGAGCGAATTTGGGGGCTCTTGGCTTTGAACTCCTTGTTCCATGTTTTTTTGTCAGATTCTCTCAGGAATTTGTCTAGCTCGAGGTATATGAGTGTTTTTTTTGATATAGGGATATATAGGGTAGTAATAGGCCGCGCTAAATCCACTGATTAGAATACCAACAAATTGGGGGTACAACCGCCATTCTCAGACGCACCTATGTAGTAATTTGATCATGTCATTCAATTCAAGACTTCGCCGGGATGACTGTCACTCGTAGATTTGTGTATTGTGGGGTGGGAAGAGGTGGGGTGGGGCGGGGAGTGTGGGGTGATGTTCACGTCACGTTCGATGCAACTTGCAAACACGTTTGACACTGCTGCCGCTTGCTTGCTCACTTCTTAAGACGCTGCAACTTGCTTGCTCACTTGATAATACGCTGCAGCCAGCTTGTGCGCTGGATGCCACGTTGCAGATGGGGTCGGGTGGGGTGTGTTAATGTTCGGTGCAACTTGCTAAGATACTTACGCTACCATTTCGTTGGCCACTTGATAATCCGCTGCAACTTGCTTTCTCACTTGATACCATGCTGTTACTTGCTTGCGCATTTGGTGCTACGTTACAGATTGGGTGGGGAGCGGTTGGGTGATGACAGTTCGATGCAACTTGCAAGCATATCTGATAATGGCCGCACGTTGCTTGATCACTTGCTATGCTGTAACTTGTTTGCCCTTTTGATGCTACGCTGCAGCTGGTTTGCTCACTTGATGCTATGTTGCAGATGGGTTGGGTGGATGATGTAAACGTTCGATGCAGCAGCTAAACATATCTATACAGTAATTTATACATATCTGATACTACGCTGCAACTTGCTTGCGCACTTGATGCTACGTTACAGAGTGGGTGGGGAAGGGTGGGGTGATATGGCTGGACAGGTTGAATTGCCTCTTACCCATGTTGTGGGCGTATGTGTAAAAACTCCTGCAGTAAAACCATAGGTTGTATATATATCATTGACTATCGTGCAGCGTTGGTTCAAAACAGGATTAGCTGCTTAACGGTATTGTGTTTTTCCCCCATTGTCGGCTGACCTGGGTAAATACAGGTTATCAGCCGTAGCCTCACTACTTTGCTATGGGGACCCCAACTGACCTTCCTCTCGCCGTTCGCCGTGCCCAATGTGGCCGGAGGCAACTCCGTGCCGATGGACGAAGAAACCATGTTCCAGCCTGTAGTTGCGTACTTTACATTCATACAAAACAACTTGTCTCAGATCACAAGTGGAAACACACTGCAAGTCATGAGGGAAGCTGAACAGAGGCATCTTCAGATAATGCATGGAGTAGTTGACTCAATCCGAAGTGAATGGTCAAGTAGACTCGCAATGCAAGAGCAGGATTATGAGCAAAGGTTGCAGGATGTAGAGAACAAAGCAATTGGAGCACTCAACGAGGAAAGGAAGAGAGGTGATGAGTTAGAGGTCAGGCTAAACCAGGCTCAAGCGTCACATGACAAAAGGGTAGAGGACTTCAAAGCAGAGGCAAACACAAAGCATGACCAGAAGATTGCAGAAGAAAGGCAACGTATCACTAGTGAATTCGAAGCCTCCTATGCACAGACGGTAGAACATGCAACGCCTGTTCACTTGCAGCTTGATCTTCATATATTGCTTCTTCGTAGCAGCTATGGCATTAATTAATGCCATAGCTGCTACGAAGAAGCAATATATGAAGATCAAGCTGCAAGTGAACAGGCCAAATTTATCCAGTTGAAAACAGAGTTTGACAACTACAAAAAGGGAATGGCCGAAAAGATCAATGAAGCAGCGGCACAATACCTTAGCCTTCAGGACCGAATCGATGACCTTCAGGAGCAGTTGAATCATGTTGCCAAAGCGCAACTAGCATCCGTTGCGAAAGCATCCGTCCAGAAAGCCGAGCCAGCCACCATCGCTGGTGTGCCACACTTTAGTATTGCTACTCCGAGAGCACCCGATGCCCAAGCTGCCAGAGGTAGTGATGAGCCGATTCAAGAGTTGAAGACACCCGCCGTGTTGGCCCAAGAGGCAAAAGCTAAGTTGGATGAGTTGCTCAAAGGTGGCACTCCCCAGCAGAAGCCAGCTGTCGGTGACGACAAGCCTCATCTGCCGACGCATTCAGGGTTCATGACTCCCACTGAAGCTATTAAAACTCCCCCAAATGATTCCCCCAAGAGCGTAACCAAGCAACAGCAAGTGATGGGTCCCTCAGATCTTATTGAATTGGTGAAAGCCTTAACCCAAAGGGAAGAAAAGGATAAGCCAAAGACTAAGGAAGCTGAGGTCATCAAGCTGAACAACATGCCAGCTCCGGAATCATATAGGACTTGGAAAAATCATGTCAGGGATGAAGTCAAGAGTTGCTCAGATGGTCCAGATGAAGCATGGCTCTGGCTTAACGAGGTGTATGATCAGTCGTGCACTCGAGAAGAGCTGGAGAAGAAGCTTCAAGATCCTGGGAAGTTTCTCACGCTGGATACAAAGCTATCAGCAGCGCTCACGCGCTCAGCCGGCGGAGACCTCGCAACTAGGATACTGAACTTCAAAGAGCAACAGTCCCGAAAAGGCATCCAGGTCAGGGGAAGATATGTTTTACTCATGTTTGAGGACTACTTCAAAACATCTGAAGAAGCAGGTAGCCTTTACAGAGTAGAAGATCTTTTGGGTGTTGCCAAGGTAGGTGATACGGTTCAAGATCTTAGAAGATTCATCAACAAATGAGATGCCACCTTAGCCGGTATGGCTTCAACCCCCGAAGAGGCTGTGTTGAGGGACATTCTGTTGAGACAGATCCGACCGAGTCAGTTGCTGAAGTACGACATTGAGGTGTTTGATCGGGCCTCCGAGAAAGCTCATGAGAAGTCTTACAGCTTTCTCCACCAGTCCATGAAGAACTTGATCGACAGAGAGCGATTGAGAGAGAATCGCAACCGCATCGCGGAGAAGAACAAGGCTGGTGGACCGAAGGACACAAAAGCTGCACCCGCCAAAGGCGATGGTCGTGGCAATCCCAACCGAAAGGGTTCTCCGAGTCGTGGTCGTTCGCAGGAACGGGGGAAAGGTGACAAAATATGTTACAAGTTCCAGAAGGGCCAATGTGATAACGGGAAGAAGTGTCCATTCAAGCATGTAAAGGAGGATAAGTCCCGAACACAGTCACCCAGAAGAAACAAGACACATTCACCATCTAGGAGCAATAAAGATGATAAGGGGAAGAAAATGTCCAAAGAAGAAATGGCAAAGACCCCATGTATCTATCACGCCCAGGGTAAGTGCAGACGAGGTGACAAATGTTTTTATAAACATGATGACAAAGCCGCTGCCGCTACGAAAGACACCAAAAGGGCCAATTCACCCGCTCCCAAGAAGAAGGCCAAGGAGTCGAATGCCGCCCCATGCTTGATCCAGAAGTTTGCCTGCATAGCCAGAAAACAGCCGAAGGCAACTTCGTGCTCTGATGAGTCAAGTGTCAGCATGAAGTGTCTTAGATTCCGAAAGGTCCCACATGTGATCGAGGTAAAGGCAGTTGGTCGTCAAGTCCCCGTCAAGCACCGTCCAAGAGAGTTCACTAAGGTGTACAAGACAGCCGAAGACGTTCCTGTTTCAAACCTGTTTCTTCTAAGATTGAGCAACATGAGGCTCAGGTACGTGCAAGACAGCTCCAGGAAACTGTGAAGCTCCATGATTCGGATGTCGCACCAAGTTGTGGGTTTTGTTGTTGGAATGAGAACACATGTGACATCACTTGCAAAGAATGCAGATTTGTTAGCGGTCCCAAAGCACTTAGAGAAGTAGGGCGTTTTCCATCCATCGCCACGGCTGCGCCAAAGGCCGGTGTCAGTTGGCTCGTCGATTCAGGAAGTGAGTCCGATCTTGTCTCTAAGGGTATGCTAAGGGATGTCAGCGCTCAGAACTGCCGTGCAGCCGAGCATCCGATCTCCTTAGTTGCAGCCAATGGTTCAACCGAGGCCAGTGAGGTTGCTGATGTCAAGTTATCCGCATTGCCAGATCCTGTGCATCCGTATGTGCTGGATCACACCCCAGCCGTGCTCTGTGTAGGAACTAGATGTGTAGATCAGGGATACAGTTTCGTCTGGCCTGCCAATGCCAATGGCAAACCGATTCTAGTTCGTCCGGACGACAAAGTTGTCCAGCTCAAGATTGAAGGTCATGTCCCAGTTTTGGATGATAGCTGCAAGGTCTATCCGAAAGATCAATTCCAAAAGGATAAACATCTTAGAAAGTTGTTCGCAATGCCGACCTCGCAGTCGAGCTCAAAAGCCAAACGGGACGAAGCCCAAGATGAAGAGCAGTTGGATGAGCTGGTTGAGGATGATGCCCAGCAGGAATACATCCGAAGCCGCAAGACTGAGGATCTTCTAGCCGAAGCTGCAAGTACCCAACATCAGTATACTCATTTCCCCAAGAACCCATTTGGCAGGACTTGCCAACGAGCAAGAATGATGGCCCCACAGGCTAGGAAGAAGGGTGGTCAGAAGAGAATTGAAACAGAAGTGTTCGGTGACCACATCATTGGTGATCATGTCATCATCAAGAAAAATGTAGAAGAGGGTTTCAGGGGGGAGCAAGTTGCATTGGTGTTGAAAGATCTGCATACCCAATATAGATATGATATGTCTACCCAAGCCAATCCAAGGATTCACAAAGTTGTGTTGATGGTTTGAATCACTTCATTGGATCAAAAGATGACGTTCAAGTTGTGTACACTGACAATTCACCAGAATTGATCAGGGCCATTAAGGACTTGGGATACAGACACCAAACTTCAATCGAGTATGTTGATTCATCAAATGTCTTTTGCTGAGCGCGAAGTTCGCCAGATGTTGGAAGGTGCCCGAAGCAATTTGTTGCAGTCCGGACTTCCGCTGAAGATGTGGCCTTTGGCCATGCAGCATCATGCGACCGCGATCAATGCAAGCCCCCAGCT